AGGAGGCAAATCCCAGCCACGTTTTTAGGCTTCCCCCATCCTGCCGTATGCGAGACGAGGCGTAAATCCGGTCCAGTCTCGACTGGGAGGATACTGTCTGTCGCCTTGTAAAAGGGTGAGCATGAGGTGCGAATCCCGCAGCATGCTGGAGGTCCATGAGCCCCAGTATGTCCATGAGCTGACTCCACTGCTTCTGTTCACGTGGCTGAATTGTTTCCTGCATACCCCTGCGATCGCAGACGTCCTCGACCATGTTGAAATCTCCCAGGACCAGCCATTCATCTGCTTGCCCCTGTGCAGACTGTAACACACTCAGCCAGAATTCTGCACGTCTCCCTTTCTTCGTTGGTGCATAGACGTTGATTATCCCCACCCGTCCAAAGTGGAGGTGAAGGACAAGCAATTGAGCCTTTCCTGGGACGAGAACAAGGTGGTTTCGTACCTGAGCAGACCATTTGGTTGAGACTACCACTGCTGTGCCCCCTCCTGGTCTGGCCACTGCTTGCGTGGCCGGGTTCCACCAGAGCCGTCCCCTCATTCCAAAGGTGTAGTCTGGGGCCACAGTCATTTTGTGCTCTTGCAAGCATAGGATGTCGATATCTCCTTCTAAGCTGATCTCTCGGATGTGGGACTTGAGCTGCGCCCTTTTGTTGAGTCGACTGCCGGTCCAGCTGAGTCCCCGGCAGTTCCAGGTGACGAGCGTGAGAGTTGTCATGGAGCCACGTACTTCCAAGAAAGTGAGGAGTTACGGGGTCTCGCCCTCCATTCTGTGGAGATGGTCCACACCGCAGTCATCTTCCCCCTGTGCTTCGTCCAGGAGAAGCCTCGGACAGTGTACTTCGCAAAGCCCGTCCACTCAGTGATAGCACTCTCCATGCGTGTGTGGTAGTCTCCAATAGTGACGACCTCTGGGAAGGCTGTGTTCCCGCGGCACATCAGCCAGTCTCCCGCCTCTGTGGGACTTAATTCCCGCTTAGGGGGAATCCACCTGACCGCCATTCCTACTGTTCGAGGGAGGACCGGCTGGAAGCCATCTCCTTCGACATCCGTAATAGGTCCCTCGAACAGTTTGGGCTGTGAGGATGAGCCCAAGAGTGGTGGGGCGACCGGGAAGCGAATGTGGGGAGCTTGGTCCGGAGGGCGTGCCTTCAAGATCCGCTCCTGCTCTGCAGGTAACTCAAACGGCTTCTGGGATGCCAACCTGTTCCGCTTGACTGAGCAGGCCTCCTCCCGGTGTCCAGCGCGCTGGCAAAAGTTGCATCTAGGTTCTGAGTTCTCCGTTTGGATCCTGATATACTGGCCCAGCACTGCGATCTCTGTCGGGATTTCAGCCGGGGCTGACACGAAAACTTTGAGACGGATGGGACCTAGCACACCCTCTGCTTCTACAGTGTCGAGGCCGGCCGCTATCTGGCCAATACTTCCTTCAACCAGCTCCTGTATCACCGGTGTGATCCGCATTTCCATGGGAACGTCCCACAATGCAATGTTCACTGGAAAGCTCCCGCCCTTGAGACGAGCCTGGTCCTCTGCGGTGAACCTTGGGATCCATGGGTGGAATGACACCGCCCAATTCTCGTCAATGAGGCCATGCATGGCCTCCGCCTGAGACCGTGCCTCCTCTGTCTCAAAGACAACTGTGTAGCAGCCCTTCCCATGCGGCAGCATCTTCTTCATGAGGATTCCCTGGCCCAGCGTTGCATTGATCCAATCGTTAGCCATGCGACCTGTTGGGAACTTCCCCCTGAAAACAGCAATCAGTGCCTTCTTGCGGAGTTCCTCTTCCTTCTCTGCTACTGCTCTTTGCAGAGTCTCAGCCAGCTTGACAGGGACGGCCTTTCCTCTCGTGTCGTCGTGGACCAAGTGACTTCCACCTTCCCCTACTGCTGCCACCTTGTGCTCTTCGGCCTGACCATGTGTTCCCTCGTTCACTTTATGTGAGGTGTACTCCTTGTTAGCATCACTGTTCCCGTCCGAGGAGTGCAGCGCTTCTACCACCTTTCCGCAGCCCCGAGTCTTCCTCGCTCTCGACTGGGCTTTTGCCACTCGCTCCGGGGTGTCAACCTCCTGGTGCTGGTACGCCCGAGACTCTGTTCTCTTGTCTGGCAGGGCGTGCTCCTCCTCAAGGAAGGCTTCAACTGTGTTTGTCCAGGCTGGGTCCTCCTTGGCAAGTCTCAGAGTTTTAAGCTTCCGCCGCGTTGCTCGCTTCACTTTCTTCTTCTCACGCTTGGTCTTCCTCTTGTTGAAGGCATCGCGGTCCTGGAACTGAAGTGTACCATCTGACTGTTCCTCCAGTGAGCACTCCGTTTCTGGCTCTGTTTCTGGCTCTCCGAGTCCCACTTCAACTGTTGGTGTTGGCGTGGTAGCCACTTTGCCACCTTGTTCTTGCGCCCATGCATCGAAGAGGTCCGCTTGCTGTGTGGCCACTGCCTTCGTGATTATCCCTTGAGCTTCACGCAGTGCAGGGCCCAACACGAGGTCCTCTCCCAAAGGACTCAGATCCAGCTCTCTGATCGTGCACATCAGGGTTGACTGGAGTTCTTTGCGTACGGGAAGCGGAGAACTTTGGATCCTTTCCTCAAAGTGGTGGGGGTCCCAGACCAGCCTCCCTGCCTTGTCGAGTCGTGGGAGTGGAGAGGGAAGCGACTCCTTCTGCTCCTCGTGTGGTGTTGTGGGAGAGTCCGGATCTGATTTCCTCACTTGTTGTAAGTGCGCAGGGTCCACCTGGTGTGTTTCCTCCTGTACTCTTGCATGTACTAGATCAGGGATGAGCCCGGCCACGTCTGTAGGAGTTTCTGGGTGGGACAGGGGGTTCCCACCAGCTGGGCATGAACTTGACGCATTCCCGTAAGCAGGGAGTGTGCCAGCTGCGCAGTCCTTCCGAGTCTTAAGGTTCTCTGTTAGAATTGCGAGAGCTGCACGACGTGCATCCCACAGAGAGATGTTCCCCACGTCTTCCCCCTCATCCAGTTGGTGAGTTAGCTGCGAGACTTCATGCTGGATTCGCTGTGCTGACTCTCGACACACCTGTTCCGTGAACTGCTCACTGTTCCAAAAGACTATACCACCGCTTGCAGGCTTCGGCAAGAACAAGTGCAGACAATCTGTGCTATCTCCACCCTGACTCAAGTCCATGCAGCGCCTCGTCACTGGAGGCTGTGGGCTGGATCGGGGCCTCACACTTGAGGAACGAGCTGGTGAAGATGGGAGTGAAGCTCTGGGCTTGTTTGTCAGGTCCGACAAGCATCTGTGGGCAAACTTCAGTGTCCGAAGAAGCGGCTCCTTGTTCTGTCCTAGGACCACGGCTGAACGGTCTGGCTCTCTAGAGATCTCCTGGCCTGGTTGTGCCTCTGAATGGGGGATTGTGAACTCACCTTCTAGTGAGGCCTCCATGTTGAGCCTGCAAGACAGAAGTGCATCGTCCTGTTCCCCTCTATTTTTGGACGTTCTGGGTGGGGCAGACTTGAGTTCTCCTGTCCCACGTCCTGGCTTGGCTGCTGCTGCACGTGCTGCTGCTCTGGTGGTGACCCCTGCCCTGACCCTGGTGTGCCGCTCCTGTACTTCTGTGAGACATCCAACCCTGTGAATCCCTTCAACGGCGAAAGTGTTTGGGATAAATCCCCGCAAGCCTTCCTGACTTGTAACTGACCCGAGACCCTCACGAAGCTCCTGGACTCCAGCCAGTGCCCAAGCAAGTGGGTGAGGGGAGGTAGCTTCGTCCTCTCCACCACTCTCAGTGGGCATCTCGTCTCTGGCTTGGCTTTTACTTCCAGCTTGTTCCAGGACCTGTCCATCCCCCAGCCCTGAAACATCCACCACTTCTATCCCGCAATCTCTACGTTTGCAACACTGGAGCTGATATTTGTTTTTGTGCTGAGACTGGGCATTGTTCCCGCATTTTACCGGTGAATCTTCGCAAAGCAAGCCACTATCTAATGCCAATTTGGCATTAGATGTCCTTTGGCATTGCCAAAGGACATTCAGCTCGCCCGTCACATCCGTGGTGAGAGGGCTTATCTTACTGCATTAAGATATCCATTGTGTCAAGGACACACGTTTTGAACATTTCTAAAGCACCAATGCTGGACTTCAAAAGCCCATCAGATCTGCAATAGAGAAGTATGGCTGGAAGCGGCAATCTCCCCGTGCTCGTTCTTCTTCTGTTGGCCTCGTTATCCTGTGAGAGAGATCTCCACTTGTATGTTCGATTCTAACTCGGACTCCTGTTCTTGCAGCTGCTCAAGGTGGTGTCGTCGAGGTTTGCAATGGTGACCTCACCTATACCGATTGCAGCAACTGCTGTAGTCTGAAGAAAGGTTGTGTCTATCTGCAACCTGGTTCAGGACAAGTCACTTGCATTGGCGGTGATTCAAGGGCTTGTACCCGGGAGTGCCAAGGTCCGAAGTTGGCCGTATGCCCATTGCCTTCATCAGGATTCCCAACATCAGGCATCAAGGTGCTCAAGGGAAAACTCCCACCCCGACAACCTGGATGCGGTTACTACAACATCGTTAACGGTGACCCCATCCCGCGGCTGGAGCAGCAGGGCACAGATCAAGGTAACCGCCTTGTTCATTATGTTCAGGAAGCTCAGCCCTCTCCGATAGAGCTCATGGCAGGAAGGAAGTGTAAGCTTGATTCGATTGTGGAGGTCTGCAATGCCGAGGTCTCCAAAGATAACTGTGGTTGCTGCTTCGGGAAATCCGGTTGCATCTACTTGGAGAATCCATCCGCAAACAGCACCTGCCTGCCTACTGAAGACCCCATGGGGGTTTGCGCCCTCGTTTGCCTGCCCAGAGTGTCCATTTGTGCCAAGTCTGTAACTTTTCAGGGCACCACCCTGCAGTCTTGCAGGAATGCACGCCGCAGCTGCGAGGACATGAAAGAGGGCTGCAGTCTCTACGATCGCAACACCGGAGCTGATCTCTGCGCTGCAGGGGGTATCGCTCTGCCTGTCTAGTCTAGTTGCTGAAACTAGTTATGGGCATTACTATTATGAATGAATAAGGCTGCTTGCTATAATCCATTGTTCTCAAGACTGAAGTAAACAATCCTAGGCTCTCAAATCTACTATAGATCTAGAAACTTCAGAGACTCCACTATAGAGAGGCATTGTATGCATACCTTGCAATCAAAAGCTTTGCTTGTTCCCAATTTGAGGTGTGTTGGATTGCTAAGTACCAAATCCTTGTTCTCGGGATCCATCACCCAGTCCATCCACAGGACAACTCCATGGCAGAGCCCAGTCTTTACAACGCTAACCTGTGCAAAAGTAGCAGAAAACATTAAGTGGTACCAAAGAGGACAGAATTGAATAACCTTTGCAAATCCACTTAGACTCTTCCTGACGCATGTTGAACTCGAGCAGCGAAAACGGTTTTGTCAATGACCTGTGATCAAAGCCATCGACTTCTTCAAGGCGACAGCGGCTTTGCCACAAATCCTGATTTAGCCAACATGAAACCAAAGTCACTGCAGAGAAAATAATCAACTTACAGGAAGATGACAAGCCATCCCATAGAGAATTCCAAAGCAGGGAACTATAATAGGGTTCTCTGATAGCAACGGACTTAGCGTCGTTCTCTCGTACCTGGATTCTCACTGCTTTAAAACAACTTCCAACTCTTTAGAAAACGAAACGAAAACGAACCAAAACCGAAGCTGCTTCCACGGCAACGCATGCTCGTACGTGGCGTAATAAGGCTCCCCTAGAAGAACATCCACCTGTCGCGAAAAGAAAGAAACCCGTCCATATCCAATGGAGTTGCAAGACTGTATACTTTATGCCCCTTGAAATCGTCCCCAGTGAGATGCTTGCCGTCTTTGTGTATAATAGACAGCTTGCTCGCGACGCTCTCCAAGTACTTCAAGCCATCTCTTCTACAGCCTGGAAACAAGCCAGCCACATGGCAGGATCCATGCGCTGTAGATAGAGCACACACGGCGCTCATCAGGCCGTCATCCCGAATGAGACAGTTTCCAAGTTCTCGTTCTCCAAGCTGGACAGAAAGAAAAAGAAACAATCGTACTCACAGATTCAAAACACACTTACAGCTTTCTGAATGGCAGACTGTATGATAGAACGCCTGCTACCGTCACCAAGCATGCGACACCTTTGTAGGCTCAGCTCGAAACCAGACGCTGAACTATTACAGCGTACACCATTGATGTCATACCGCACTGACGCTTCATCATGGCTGACTACGACGCGAAGCTCCGACTGCTCCTCCACCGAAACACCTTGTCCAGGAAGAAACCACACACATTGTTTCCAATGGTCACACCACTCGCTTGCCCCTGAGAACACAAATCTGCGGAGTTACTCAAAGAATCGAACAGGAAAACAAACCTCTGATCCAACGAGGAGCAGTTGAGTAGCAAACCAGGCCATCTTTGTCAAGCTGCAGCACCCACCTTGTCAAGTTCAAGCAGAGAAGAAAGCGAACCAAGAAGTAGCGAATCCGAGCAAGTTTCGTACCATGAAACTATTGCGTGAGCAGTCCCAGAGAAGTTGACATGCACGGCTTGATTAAATTCTCCACGCACATCTGGAGCTCTATAGAAGTCAAGAACGAAGGCCTCAAACGGCTCGGAAAGCTGCAGCGCCACGGGTTTTGGTAACTTGTAAGAGAACTCTACTAAATTACCAGCTTCATACCGGGGATTTCATCAACGTGAAACGCATGCTGTCTGTGCTTGAAGTAAGAGTAGAAATCATTGGGAGCGAAAGCCAATCCGTCCTGCAGCTGGTCTTCTACCCCTTGAAGGTCGTGCAATCTCCAGAGAAAGTCGCTCTCGACTAGCTAAGAGAAAGAAGTAAACTCAACACTGAGCTAAGAAAAAAGACTTTGCTATATACCTGGGCATACACAGTAGCTCGATATGGCACTGTGGCAGCATTAGGCCGGAGTAAATGCTCATGAGCGTTCCTTAGACTTGGAATGATCCCTTCTCCAAGCAACTCCGAGTCTAAAATCTCACACACCTGGAGAGACAAAGAGTCCAGAGGAAACGAAGAAGAAGAATGTGTACAGACTTAGCGTACCAATGCATCGGCTTTGCTAGAGATGTCCACCCCGACTTTGATCTCATCCGAGCCCATATGGAGCAGCTTGATCGCTCCCATCGTCCCATTGTCTCGGCAAACTTTGCGAGCCAGCTTGTACATTGGAAGAAAAGATTCGCAAGCAGTCACCTGGCACTGCTCTTCCATTGCCCGCCAAGCCATGAGCGACAAGAGCCCAGTGCCAGCACTGTCAAGAACGAGCTCAGGAAACGAAAGAAGGATCTCTCTAGCCTCACCCAATGTCCAGGACATGGCCATGGCGGCCGACCTTCGCGATTGCTGAAGAGAATGCCCTGTTCCTGGCGCGATCATTCAGCATGTCAAGATACGAGCTCTCTGCCAGGGGATCGCTCGCATCGCCGCCGTCGCCTCCATCGCCAACGAGAATCCATTCGCTCTCCCCCGTGAGCGCATTGCTTCCTTCTAAAACCCTAAACTCACAAAGAATGAAAGAATGACTGGGTGCTTGGAGCTCATCCATTGCTGTGCAACTCCATCTCAAGCTCTCCAAGCTCACTCCAGGATCCAATCCATCACTAGCGGCGACATCTTCCTTTGCAACAAGCTCATCCAGATGTACGGGAGGTGCTCTACTGTCTCTAATGCCCGCCGCGTGTTTGACTCGCTCCCCAGAAAAGATTCCTTCTCCTGGGATCTCCTGCTCAATGCCTACGTACTGAACGGGGTTTTGGAGGAAGCCCAGAGAATCTTTGCCCCACAAGAGCGTCATGCCTTGGAATGTGCCCTTGGCGGGATATGCCCGGACTGGGCATATGCAAGAGTGCGTCAAGATGTTCGAGTCTGCGGCATGCTCCGAGAATGGACGGCTGGATCTCTCCCAGCAGCTGTTTGGCAGTATTCCTTTGATGTGGCGACGTGGAATGGCATGCTGGCAGCGTATGCCCGTGCCGGTCGTGTAGAGGAATCTACAAACTTCCTAGAAGAGATGCCAGAAAGAAGCCTGGTTTCATGCACAACAACCATGTTTTTAGGGACATTGTCTCCTGGAACTCAATGTTTGCGGCATATGCCAGTCACAGTTGCATAGAGCAGTCAACGTGCGTGTTTGAGAAAATGCCACAGAGGGATCTTGTGTCATGGACCACAATGCTGCTCTTGAAAAGCAAGTGTGGCGTACGGAATCGAGGAGATACAGCACAACTTCAACCCCGTGCCAGAGCAAGGCCTCCTATCCTTCAACACAATGCTCTCGGCATATTCTCAGCATGGGCATCTGACCAAGGCCATAAGAATGTTTGTAAGTCTCCCCCAACACGAATCTGCCACGTGGAATACTGTGCTGACAGCATATGCCGGTAATGGGCATCTGGGCAGAGATTTGAAGCTGCTGGCCCTGATTCCCGTGCCTGACATGGTTTCATATGCCGGGATGCTGGTAGCCCTAGCTCATTTGAGGCATTGGAACTGTTTGGTTCTCTAAAGACACTCCACCTCCCGGACTTGACGTGCTTTGTTTTGGGTCTGGTGGCTTGCAGCCATACTGGAAATGTGAGGCGAGGAAGGTAGTGCCTTTGCTTCAGTGGTAGCAGACTATGGAATGGAGCCAACCAAGCAACACTATCGATGCTTTGTGTGGGCCGGTCAGGGCATCTTAATGAGGCCATTGCAAACCTGCCATATTTTGGAGTGGACTAGCTTGCTTGGGCCAGCCATAGAGTCTTACAGAACGGGGGCCGTGCTGCAAACATGGTATTCAGGATGAATCCAGAGCAGGGAGGAGCGTATGCATTGTTATCCACACTTATGAACCAGTAACACTGTCGTTATAAACACATGATCATCATCGTACAAATAACTTTTCTAGCTAGCGGATAGTGGTCATATTGTAGCATTTGGATTGGCAGCCTTTAGAAAGGCTGACATGGGAAAATTAATCCTATGTTACTAAGGTCATTGTTTTCATCAAGTCTTTCTTGTTTTTTCCATGGCTTTCCGTTCATTCTTTTCAATTCTCCTTGGGTTGCTATTCAAGGTGGTGATAGTGCCAAAAAATTCAATGGCACTTGTGTTCCTCCGGCAATCTTTAGCTTTACTGATTCACTCTCTGATACTGGCAACCGCAACCTTGAAGCAATTGCTGCTGGCGCTTTTAGTCTCTCTGGAAATTTGCCATATTGAGTGACACTTGGAAAAGCCACAGGGGATGGATACATTTGTATTGATTATTTAGCTTGTTCTCTCAAGCTTGGAGATTTTGAGCGTCCTAGCTTGACTTACAATGGAACTTATTTTATGGGCTTGAATTTGGAGTGACTGTTCGTCCAACTAGTATTATAATACTTCTTTCTCATGTTTTATCTACGCAAGTTTCAGGTTTTCTATGACATAAACAATATTACAACTTCATAAAGATAAAGCACTTTATTATATTGGTAATAATCCTAATTATGGTATGCAATATGGAAAATATCAATTCCATCTGTGATGGCTGGCATTAAATCTAGTATTATGGATTTATATAATTCTGGTGCCAAACATTTTCTGGTGATGAATCTTCCTCGTCAAGATTGTTCTCGTGGCTATTTACAAGAGTTTGTTGATATTGGGGGTATGCAATATGTTATTGAGCTTACAAATATTATTAAGCTATTTTGGATATCGTGAATGATATTAAAAATCAGAACGATGATATTGAACTATACTATCTTGATTGAGCTTATGAAATATGGATCAATATGGATTTAAAACTTATAAAGTGGCTTGTTGCAGTGCACCAGGAGATGATTTTCCATTGCAATAATCCAATATTATGTGGATGCGGAACACAAAATGGTACACTATGTGATAATCCAGGTGCACATTTATCTTTTGATGGTTACTCAACATTTTATGAGGTTTCTTGACTTTGTTGAGTATCCTCTGAAATTTAATTCTTATAATTTCTATTATTTTATTTTAATAAGATAGCTTGGTGTTTTGGCTGATCGAGAGAGAATGCAGTTTCATCGAAAGTGGTAGGAATCCAGCAATGCGACATTGGCCGATGCGCCTTGGCTTAGAACCGATATGAGCAAGAAATATGGCTGTGCATTGTTGTGAGGTTAAGCATCGATCGGTCTTTAACCGGTTTAGCGTGATACGTCTGGAAAAGAGCCCCTTGCGTCATGTTCAACAAAGAAGAGATGGTTAACGAACAAAGGCTAAACTCTTTTTTTTAATCTTCCCTTTGCTTAATAAGAATACGTATTTTTATACTGTCATTTTAAACATCGTATGTACATAATCATAAGGCGGCGGCGGCGGTGGTGGTGGTGGTGGTGCCTCCGGGTAATCCAGTAGCTTCTCCAGCCGTAGCACTACGTCGCAGTGGTAAGGCAGCACTGGATGCCAGTGGAGATACATGGGACTGATGGTCAGCCACGAGAGGCCATAAAACTCCGCTCCAAGTTGCTCTAGAACGTAGCGGATTTGCAGCTTGATGCCGCTGCTGCTCCCTGGCTTCCCTGTGCCCACACTGCTGCTGCTAGTGTTGCTGCTACTACCGGCGTTGTCACACAAGCCATTCCCACCCAGACGCATCCCTTGCATCTCCTGTCTCGAGCCTTGGAGGAGCCGAAGTGTGCTACGAGACCGTTCTGGAGCGTCCTCGGCCATTCCTCCTCCATGGAAACATGAACAACCTCGGCTCGTAGAGCTGTGGTCGGGCCGGAGATGACGTAGCCGGATGCAACGGGAGAGATGGAGCCTCTGCTCTGTATCCACTGTCCAAATGCCGTGGCGTTGGCTACGGACCATGTCGAAGCCGCTGGAATAAAGTATCAGTCAGCGAATACTTAAATACGAAAAAAACTTCTAGCTTACCAGTTGATTCGGTCAGGCTCAGCCCCTGCAATAACTCGTCACCAGACACCGTCGCCAAGGTTACACCGGCCAGCTTCCCAGCATGAAAGTTGATCTCCGGCTTTGGGAGTAAACCACGCAAAACAAAAGAGGACGAGGAACGAATCACCATGGGCCATGCTCTGAATTCGTCCAGCCAGTGAGGTTGTGTCTTGCTGGGAACTTGTAAAACTCGCGACGATCTGGAGAGAGGGCTTTGGATTCACCGTCAGAGGCGATGTAACGTTCCAAACACTAAACGTTTGCAAACATTTAAAAAGCTCGTTCTCTCGTGGCTGGCAGGACATATTTCAGATCACATGTACAGGCCAAAGCAATGCCAACGACAATTGCTATTTTGTTGTAGCCATGGTTTATGGACAGTGCCAAGTACGACATTGGTCCCATTACAGCTACTGTGTTTGGAGGAAATGGCTCACTGTGTTGACATTTTCAGTGAAGGTGCATATGGATTTGGATTTGATAGATATTCACAAACCAACTATTCCAGCTTGCAGGGATTAGGAACTCTCTAACTGCTTCCAGCTTGTTCAGCTCTCCTGAGATTCGGCAGATATTAGTCACCTACAAGGCAGCATTCCTCAGCTTTCCGAGCATACTTCTGTTAAACTCCAACAGACTGGGAGGCCATCTTCTCGGGTGAGCCTTCCAAAAAATTTCAGCTCCAATGCGACCAACAACAGGTTTGAAGGCAGTGTTTCATCAAGGAACTTTAGCAGCAACCAGACAAGTTGTCTGGGAAGCTACCAACTCAATGTGAACCACTGTACCAACACCAATAAGAGAATTGAAGAAACTCTTTGCGTCGAATCCTTGTTATTGATCATGATTGGGTTCAATGGTTGACTCTTCCCGGGCATATATCACCTCCATGGCCTGGTTCAATTAAAGTTTGCATTGTTAGTGCAAAATGGTCCCGGGATCCAAACTTTCAGCCAGCTGGAGGGATGGATGCTGCCATTTACTCTATTTTATGAGCTCTCAACACAGGAGTGATCCAGCTTTCCCTTTACCTAAGAGCAAAAAATCGATCGGGGTAGCACACCTGGTACAAGGGTTGCAAGTGGCATATATGTTTTCAATACAGACAATATATGTGACACAGAAAATGAATAAAAAATCAAAATGGTCGAGACGAGCATTTTTCCAAAATAAATTTATGCAACTTGTTACCCTGCACCCTTGCAACCGTGCCTTATCGTTTTTTAGGCCTAGGCTCTCCAGCTTCGGTCCGCTCATTCTATCAAGGGCTGCAGTCTCTACGTTTGCAACACTGGAGCTGATATTTGTTTTTGTGCTGAGACTGGGCATTGTTCCCGCATTTTACCGGTGAATCTTCGCAAAGCAAGCCACTATCTAATGCCAAAGGACATTCAGCTCGCCCGTCGCATCCGTGGTGAGAGGGCTTATCTTATCGCATTGAGATATCCATTGTGTGGTGGCGAACTGCTAACAAGTACACACGTTTTGAACATTTCTAAAGCACCAATGCTGGACTTCGAAAGCCCATCAGATCTGCAATAGAGAAGTATGGCTGGAAGCGGCAATCTCCCCGTGCTCGTTCTTCTTCTGTTGGCCTCGTTATCCTGTGAGAGAGATCTCCACTTATATGTTACAGTCGATTCTAACTCGGACTCCTGTTCTTGCAGCTGCTCAAGGTGGCGTCGTCGAGGTTTGCTATGGTGACCTCACCTATACCGATTGCAGCAACTGCTGTAGTCTGAAGAAAGGTTGTGTCTACCTGCAACCTGGTTCAGGACAAGTCACTTGCATTGGCGGTGATTCAAGGGCTTGTACCCTGGAGTGCCAAGGTCCGAAGTTGGCCGTATGCCCATTGCCTTCATCAGGATTCCCAACATCAGGCATCAAGGTGCTCAAGGGAAAACTCCCACCCCGACAACCTGGATGCAGTTACTACAACATCGTTAACGGTGACCCCATCCCGCGGCTGGAGCAGCAGGGCACAGATCAAGGTAACCGCCTTGTTCATTATGTTCAGGAAGCTCAGGCCTCTCCGATAGAACTCATGGCAGGAAGGAAGTGTAAGCTTGATTCGATTGTGGAGGTCTGCAATGCCGAGGTCTCCAAAGATAATTGTGGTTGCTGCTTCGGGAAATCCGGTTGCATCTACTTGGAGAATCCATCCGCAAACAGCACCTGCCTGCCTACTGAAGACCCCATGGGGGTTTGCCCCCTCGTTTGCGTGCCCACAGTGTCCATTTGTACCAAGTCTGTAACTTTTCAGGGCACCACCCTGCAGTCTTGCAGGAATGCACGCCGCAGCTGCGAGGACATGAAAGAGGGCTGCAGTCTCTACGATCGCAACACTGGAGCTGATCTCTGCGCTGCAGGGGGTATCGCACTGCCTGTCTAGTCTAGTTGCTGAAACTAGTTATGGGCATTACTATTATGAATGAATAAGAAATGTCCCTCCTTGGAGGGGCCGGTGCCAATGTCCGAAGTTACTCGCCATGCAATTTGTGATGGAGTGTAGGAGAAATATTGTATCTTCCTCTGGATCGATAGGAAAGTAGAGCAGGTCCTTGAAGAAGCCGATTCCTTGAGGCTTGGGCTGGAAAAGTATCTTGGTCGCCAGCATCGACGTCAAATAGAGGCGCAAGAACGAGCAGATCTTTTGTGAATTTAGAAGTACAATGGGAACACAACATGAATCAGAATAAAGTAAGAAAGCAAGAAAGAAATTCTGGCTTAGACTCCAG